AAGGACTCCACTAAGAGACTGTTGGAACTCATGGAAGAGCTTGGTAAAGTAGCTGGATATAAAGTCAATACATAAAAATCAACAGTGTTTGTATACATAGACAATGCTATGGCTGAGAAAGAACTTCAAAGATCAATCCTATTCACAGTAGCTACAAAAAAAAAAATAAAAAATCTTAGAGAATAAAATTTAACTAAGGATGTCAAAGATCTCTATAATGAGAATTACAAAATTAAAGAAAGAAACAGAAGAAGATACAAAAAAATGGAAAAATATTCCATGTCCATGATTGGAAGAATCAGTATCATCAAAATGTCCATACTACCAAAAGCAATTTACAGAGTCAATGTGATACCAATTAAAATACCAAGGACATTCTTCTCAGATATAGAAAAAATGTTGTTGAAATTCATATGGAAACACAGGAGACTCCAAATAGCTAAAGCAATCTTATCCAACAAAAACATAGCTAGAGGCAGCACAATATCAGATGAGACATACTACAGGATAGTTATAATCAAAACAGCCTGGTAATGGTAAAAAAAAAAAAAAAAAGATATAGATCAATGGAAAAGAATCACATTGCCAGAAATCAATCCAACCACCTACAACCAACTTATCTTTAATCAAGGAGCTAAAACCAATACCTGGAGCAAGAACAATCTCTTCAATAAATGGTGCTGGAAAAACTGGATCTCCATACGCAAAACTATGAATGAAGACCCCTACCATATACGTTATACAAAAATCCACTCAAAATGGACTAAAGACCTAACTCTCTCACCCAATACCATTAAATTATTACAGAACATTGGGAAATCCTGCAAGACATTGGCATAGGCAAAGAGTTCTTGGAAAAGATCCAAGAGACACAGACAGTCAAAGCCAAAATTAACAAATGCGATTACTTCAAATTGAGAAGCTTCTGCACTACAAAATAAACACTCAGCAAAGTGAAGAGACAACCAACAGAATAGGAGAAATTATTTGCAAACTATGCAACTGATAAAGGATTAATAACCAGAATCTACAAAGAGATCAAGAAACTCCACAACAAAGAAAACAACCCAGTTAAATATGGACAACAGATTCAAAGAGACATTTTTCATAAGAGGAAATCCAAATGGCCAACAGACACAAGAAAAAATGTTGAGGATCACTAGCTACCAGGGAAATGCAAATCAAAATTACAATGAGGTTTCACCTCACCCCAGCTAGAATACCTTTCATACAGAAATCAACAAACAACAAATGCTGGTGAGGATGTAGGAGAAAAAGTACCTTAATCCAGTGTTGGTGGGAATGCCAACTGGTGCATCCACTGTGGAAGAAGACAGTATGCAGATACCTCAAAAATCTGAATATAGACCTACCATATGACCCAGCCATCCCACTCCTCAGAATTTATCCAGGGAAAATTAAATCGGCAAATAAAAGCTATCTGCACCTCCATGTTTATTGCAGTTCAATTCACAATAGCTAAGACATGGAATCAACTTAACCACCCATCAACAGAAGACTGGATAAAGAAATTATGAGATATGCACACTATGGGATACTACACAGCAGTTAGAAAATGAAATCCGGTCATTTGCAACAAAATGGAGGAATCTAAAAAAATTGCAGTTGGTGAAATAAGCCAGTCCCAAAAGGACAAATATCATATGTTCTCCCTGACCTGTGCGAATTAATAGAGCACCTAAAATGAAATCTGTAGAAGTGAAATTGACACTTTGAAAAGGGCTGACTTGAGCTGCCCTGGTCTTGACTGTTGAGGAAAAGTTTTGTTTTGTTTATTCATCTTTTTTTTTCCATATTATTTGTTGAACTTTCTACTTAACAGAATTCATCAAATGTGTATAAAGTGAACTAAAAATAGATCTTAGTTAAAAAATAAGAGTGGAAATAAGAGAGGGGAGAGGAATTTTGTAACTGTAAAGCTGTATAGTTCTGCATACATTCCTATGGACTTACTTCTGAGGGTATTAACTTTTCAAAACAAATTGCATTAAGCTTGGTGGTAAAAAAAAGCCATCTTAATTGTTAAATTGATCATATTAAGTGTTAAAGTGAACATAGATAGGATTAAGTGTTAAAGTGAACATATAAATAGGATTAAGTGCCTGGTAATAATAATAGATAGAATTAAAAAGGAGAGAATCTTCCAACATGGGAAGCAGTAAACACAGCAGACTCATAGAATGACAATTGCTTTAAGTAGCATTCTGACCTCAGAATCAACCCTTAAGGCTTCCTGTCTGGCTGAAAAGCCCGAGAGAACATTACAGGCATGGAAAGCCAAGACACTGTGGCAAAAAATATTCTACATGAAGGAGCTCTCCGAGTGAGATCCCATTGTAAAGAAGTACAAAGATGTACTTTTCTCTAAAGGGAGGAGAGAACTTCCACTTTGCTTATGGCCTTGTTCAAATACTGATAGTTTGTAGACTCAAAAGCCTTCCACAACCTAGGCAGCTCATATCAAGAGCCTCGGGTGGTCATTGTTAAATTAACAACAGGGGTCACTGTACACTAACTCCCCATGCAGGACCTCTGTCCTCAATGAATTGTATTTATAGTTAACTGTAAAACTAGTCCTTAAACTGTGTGTGTGTGTGTGTGTGTGTGCACGTGCGCAAATTGTTGAAATCCTTACTTAGTATAGAGTTGGTCTTCTGTGTACAAAGTTAATTTGAAATGAATCTTAATGGAGAATGGGATTGGCAAGGGGAGAGGGAGGAGGAGGAGGGGTGGAAGTGTGGGTGGGAGGGCTGTTATGGTAGGAAAAAAACTATATAAAGTTGTACTTAAGAAATTTGCATTCCTTAAAAAATAAATAAAAAAGAAAAATAATTATCTGTACCCTCATGTTTGCTGCAGTTCAATTCACAATAGCTAAGACATGGAATCAACCCAAATCTCCAGCAACTGAAAACTGGATAAAGAAATTATGGGATAAGTACACCATGACTACTACATAGGGGTAAAAACAAACAAACAAACAAACAAACAAACTTGAAGAGCCCACTAAAAAGTGGAAAGTCATCGCATGGTCATGGTTTTGAATAACTAATATTTTTAAATATCCATACTACTCAAAATAATCTATAGAGTCCATGCAATCCCTGTCACGATACCAATGGAATTCTTAACAGAAAGAGAATGGAGAAAATATTTACAAGCTGTTCAGCTGATGAGATTAAAGAACTCAACAGCCCTTCTTCCCCAAAAAATCCATTTAAAAAATTGGACAGATGATTGGAGTAGACATATCTCAAAAGAAGATACACAAATGATCAACAAGTATATGAAATCACCAGGAAAAGGGAAATAAAAACCATGATGGAATGCCATCACACCCCAGTTAGAATGGCTATTAACAAAAAGACAAAAAGAAAATGCTGGTGAGGATGTGGAGAAGGGGGAACTAATACACTGTTGATGGGAACGTAAATCCGTGCAGGAGCAGCGATTTCAATATAGATCTCCCACTTGGGTGGCAGGCACCTAACGACTAGAGCCATCACCTGCTGTCTCCCAGAATGCACATTAGCAGAGAGTTGGAATCAGTAGCAGAGCCCAGACTCAAACCCAGGCCTCTGATATGGAATGTGGGTACTCCAAATGGTGCCTTAATCACTGCACCAAATGCCCACCCATTATTTGTCTGTCGCACACATGGTCTGTATATAACGCCCATCCAGACATACTTAAAGAGTTTAAAAGTACATCTGCATCCCACTTGGCAGTTGCCTTATAAACCTACATTATATTTATATGTGCACTTATATGTAGTTAAAATTGGTGTTATCCATCATTTATTATTACTGGGACTTAAGGTCCCAGCTGTCAGACCTTTTGTGCTCATAAAACCACTGTCGGACATTATTCCCCTGGTTAGATGAAATATGCTCACTGCTCTGCGCAAATATATTCCTCTTGGTGATTCCTGGCAGTGGGTTGAGGGGTGAGTGACCGTCCATGCCGCAGAGGCCCCTGGCCTGTGCTGTCTGCAGTGGGTGGACATACCCTGGGTAGTGAGAGCTGCAAAAGAGTCTTGGGGCTGAGCTCAGAGCTCTAAGACTCATATCAATTTCCCTGTTATCTGACCTTGGAGGAGCCATTTAGCTTTTCTATCTCTAGTTCTTCATCTATACAATATCTACCTTACAGGATTCTGAGGATGAAATGGACAATCAATGTGTACGAGAGCTGAAGAACACAACACAGTGCACACACGCTGCGTATGACTGTAGATCAGGGCCAACCTCTGCTCAGACCATAGCTCCCTCCACAGACAGTCAGTCACCTGTTTGCAGAAACACAGGCCCGAACATCATTGGTTAGACTCAGCCTTTGATCTTGGGCCACAAGAAGGTAGATCAATGAGAGATCACGAGCCTCTGTCCATGGCCATTTCTTTACATGATGTCCTGGTATCGCATGGGAAAATCATGGAGCAGCACAGATTTGGTTTTGTTCTCAAGATGCTGCAGCCTCCACCCTTCTGACTCAATTGCTTTTCAAGCCAAGCCTTTTTCAAAAGCAGTCTAGGGGTGGGTATCTGGCCTGGGGGTTGAGTTACCAGCTGACACAACTGCAGCCCATTGTGGATTAGCTGGGTTTGAGTGTCGGCTCAGGCTCCTGATGCCACCTTCTTGCTAATGCACACACCCTGGGAGGCAGCGGTGATGGCTCGTGTAGTTAGATCGCTGCTACCCACATGGGAGACCAGCCCTGAGTCTGCAGTTCCTGGCTTTAGCCTGGCCCAGCCCCAGCCACTGCAGGCATCTGGGGAGTGGCCCAGTGGATGGAAGCTGTCTGTCTCTGCTTCTCCAACAAACCAATGAGTAAAAAGAGAAATCTACCAGCTGGGTTCTCCTCAATTATATCTGTACTTGGTCTTCCCCCTAGGGGAAATTTCTAAGGAAAACCATGGACTGAAACTTCCCCGTCTGGAGCACACAGAGGGAAGTTCCCATGGCATGATCTCAGCTCACCAGCTTAAGCAGCACCTCGAGATCCAGGTCGCTTGTGCCCAGAGTGGGTGTCGCGTCCCGAGCACCGTCTTCTGTGACACCTCTACCCTGAGGAAGAAAGGGAAGCTTTGATTACTTGGAGGGGAGCCCCAATCACAACTTGCCACACACAGTGAATTAAATGCTTGACAAAGATAATACCTCTCAAGTGATAGTTTACACCGCCCCCCCCCCCCCATTAGCTTCTAGTCTCTTTCACACTTGGTTATCCTTGAGAAACCAAATCCAAGGAAGCGGCCTTTCCCGAGAGGCAGGGGCTGCTCCCAGGCTCAGGGAGTCCCAGGCAGTCCTGGGAGCAGGCTGCCCTCTGGGCTCTGCTCGGTCGCTCCTTGCTGGGGTGGGGGTGGGGGTGGGGGTTAATCAGGTTGCCTTCTGATCCAGCCACCAGAAATAGCGGCTCACAGCCCTTTGTCGCATTCACCTAATGAACGTGTGTTACTGACAGGTCACACACACCTTCTAGACCTGTTGTTTCCACATTTACATACGGCTCATTCTTTCTTCACCTGACCTTGTTCGTGGCCTCCTAGGGGCTGGTGTTGTGGCATAGCAAGTAAAGCCACCACCTGCAGCACCGGCACCCCATATGGGTACCAGTTTGTGTCCTGGCTGCTCCACTTCTGACCCAGCTCCCTGCTAATGGCCTGGGCAAGCAGAAGTGGCCCACGTGTCTGACTTCCTGCCACCCAGGTGAGAGACCTAGATGAAGCTCCTGGCATCAGCCTCGCCCAGCCCTGGCCATTGTGGCCATTTGGAAAGTGAACCAGTTGATTGAAGATCATTCTCTCCCTCTCTCTCACTCTTTCAAATAAATTATCTTTCAATAAATAAATAAAATGCAAACTGCTCTTTGTGAATAGGAAATTGATTTGGCATAGAAAGTTTGTTTGACCCTAAATATGGCAAGCTCTCTCATTTTCCATTGTACATCGAGTTGCTAGAATTTTGGGAGCCTTGTATTTGGAATAATATGCTATGCTTTACTGATTTTGTTATGGGGAAATAATTCAGAGGTGGAAACAAGAGCATTTTTTGGGGCTGTTGGACCCTCACTTTGGCTCTGTCCAGGTACCACCTAAAGGGTGGCCATAAGAAATAAGCAGTGGCGTAGCGGGTAAAGCTGCTGCCCACAGTGTCGGCATCCCATATAGGCACATGTTTGAGTCCCGGCTGCTCCACTTCCGATCCAGCTCTCTGCTATGGCCTGGGAAAGCAGTAAGGATGGCCCAAGTCCTTGGGCCCCTGCACCCACGTGGGAGACTTGCAAGAAGCTCCTAGCTTCCGATCGGTGCAGCTCCAGCCATTGTGGCCAACTGGGGAGTGAACCAGCAATTGGAAGATCTCTGCCTTTCCTTCTCCCTGTGTAACTGACTTTCAAACAAATGGATAAATCTTAAAAACCAAAAGCCAGCACCGTGGCTCACTTGGTTAATCCTCCGCCTGCAGCACCGGCATCCCATATGGGCGCTGGTTCTAGTCCCAGTTGCTCCTCTTCCAGTCCAGCTCTCTGCTGTGGCCTGGGAAGGCAGTGGAGGATGGCCCGAGTGCTTGGCTCCTGCACCCGCATGGGAGACCAGGAGGAAGCACCTGGCTCCTGGCTTCAGATCGGCGTAGCTCTGGCCGTAGCAGCCATTTGCGGGGTAAACCAACGAAAGGAAGACCTTTCTGTCTCTCTCTCACTGTCTAACTCTGTCAAAGAAATAAGAAAAAAAAAAAAAAAAGCAGCAGCACACAGTGGGTGGGAGCTTGCCTGTAGGGAGGAGGACAGATAGGTGCTGCATTGTCCAGAGACGTCCTACTTATTGCTGAGGCTTTTCCCAGCAAACACTCTGCTGCCTGAATCAGAGGCCAGAAATAGTCGTGAAAACGATAGGCAGAGCTTAAGAAAGACATGGCTCTGGCTGAGACCCATGGCCATGGTTGCATGGAATCAGTGTAAACACTGCAGGCAGAGAAAGCAGGAGTAACTACTGATGGGGCAGCAAGAAGACAGTGATAGGTAGATAGGTTGACAGACAGAGAGAGACAGGCATATAAGTATAGAGTATGGATTTGACACAAAGCCCTGTTACCTACAGCTTGGAACACTAGCAACCCACATCGGGAGCACCAGTTTGAGTCCTGGCTGCTCTGCTTCTGCCCCAGCTCCCTTAATGCATGAAGCACTTGGGTCCCCGCCACGCAAGTGGGAGACCTGGATGGAACAGCTGACTCCGGGCTTTGTTCTGGTCCAGCCCTGGCTACTGCAAACATTTGGGGGAGTAAACCAGCAAATAGAAGCTCGCTCTCTCTCAAATAAAAATGAGAATGCACTTTTTAAAATTAAAAGTTATTCCAGAGAAGCTGTTAACTTTCCACTCTACAGTTTTAAAAATAAACCATGGGGCTGGTGCTGTGGTGTAGCAGGTAAAGCTGCCGCCTGCAATCCTGGCTGCTCCTCTTCTGATCCAGCTCTCTGCTATGGCCTGGGAAAGCAGTAGAAGATGCCCCAAGTCCTTGGGCCCCTGCACCCGCATGGGAGACCTGGAAGAAGCCCCTGGCTTTGGATCAGCACAGCTCTGGCCATTGCAACCATCTGGGGAGTGAACCAGCAGATGGAAGACCCCCCCCCCTTCCCCTCACCCCCCTCTCTCTGCCTCTCTGCCTCTCTGTAATTCTGCCTTTCAAATAAATAAATCTTAAAAAAAAAAAAAACCACAACCCTAAGGTTTATTTAAGTTGTGATTTTTTTCATCCACAGGCTCCCAAATTTGTTTTATGGTTTTTGTGTACAAGCTCTTAAGTACTAAATGGTGAAAGAACCAAATGAAAATCTGACATTTTTTTTTTTTTTTTTTAAGATTTGAGGGACCAATGTTGTGGCATAGTGGGTAAAGCTACTGCCTGCAGCCCCAACATCCCAAATGGGTCCCAGTTCCTGTCCTGGCTGCTCCACTTCCAATCCAGCTCCCTGATAATGGCCAGGGAAAAGCAGCAGAAGATGCCCCAAGTGTTTGAGGCCCCGACACCCACATGGGAGACCCAGATGAAGCTCCTGGCTTCAGCTTGGCTCAGCTCTGGTCATGGCAGCCATCTGGTGAATGATCATCAGAAAGAAGATATCTGTCTCTTCTTCTCTCAATAATCTGCCTTTCAAATAAATAAATCTTTTAAAAATAAGAAGGTGACTTTCCTAGAGGCATAAAATGGTTTGATAACGACATTCCTCCCTATATAGCTCTTTCAATGACAATACGATTCTCACCATTTTCTGCATCCTGATTAAGTCATGGACCTAAGAATGTATAGATCCTAAATATAGCACTGGAAAAATTATTTTCACCTGAAGAACTAGCTTCCAACCCACATTTTTTTCTTTCTTAAATTTGGATCTCAACTTTGAAAAAAGAACCATTCTTAGCTCCACACACTCTCCCCTACCACCCAAAGTGTCCTAGGATGCATCTGTATCACCTCAGGACTCAACAGAAAAAGTAGCCAAGCAAAATGCAGATCTCCAATCCTTTCCCCACAACCAAGTGGTGTCTCTCAAATCAACTTGGTGTAATCAATGCGTTTTTAAATTTTTATTTCTTTGTTTGGGAGTCAGGGGGTTGGGAGAGTCAGGGGAGAGGGGGGGGAGAGAGAGAGAGAGAGAGGCCATCAGCTGGCTCACTCAGCAATACCCACAATGGCCTGAACTGAGCTGGGCCATGGCTGAGATCTAGGAACCCCATCCAGGTCTCCTACATGATTGACAAGCATCCAGCCACTCATGGCATCCCTTGCTACCTTCAGGAGGCTGGAGTCAGGAGCCAACAAACCCAGGTGCTCCAGAGTAGGATACATGTGTCTTAGTTAGGGTCCTAACTGCTCATCCACATACCCACCCCGGTTTATGTTTTTAAGTGGCTTACATGTTGCTCATACTATTGCAACCACAAAACACTTTTTGAAAAACATAATAGTACATAAAATAAAGTTCTTATTGACAACCTGACTTTCCAGGTAGACTAACATTGTTGTTTACATATTCACAGCGTGTGTCTAACTATAGTGAAGCTATGGTATAAAAATGCAGCAGCAACTTTACCTTCATCAATAAACTGAACATTACCTTTGGGTCACACTTTGTCAATATGACATTTCCTTCAGAATCTTTGTTCTTCTTATTACATTCCTTTAGCAAAAAACAGGACAAAAATTCCAAAGGGTTGTCCTGAAAATACACCCCACCACCAAAAATTTTTTCTGAAAACATTCCTCTGAAATACAGGTCATCAAAAGCGCAGCAGAAAACAGGACACATTTTTAGTACCATTTCCCACTTCCCACCTAATTAATTTACAAATCCAGCGAAGTATCTCTAATTCAGTTAGAATCAATGAAGGGGGCTGTCACATTAAGCATATATGCCACTTACCATATGTATTCCTGGTCCTCAACTTTTTGTCACAACCCAGTTAAGATGCTGCCATGATTCAGTTGTGGTTTGTGCCCCCAAAAGTCCTAGTGCTAAAAGCTTGGTCCCCAGTGTGGTCATGTTAAGAGGTGGACATAAAGAGAGGTCACTGGGGCTGTCCTTGAAAGGGGTGCAGGCAGTTCTCATGGGTCTGCCAAGTTAGTTCTCATGAGCAGGTTGTACAGAAAGGGTAGGTCTGGCCCCAGCCATTCTCTGGCTTCCTGTCTCAGTGTGGTCTTTCCCTCTCTCATGTTCACTGGCTGCTGTGGTGCCATTGACATTGCCTTGAGATGATGCATTGGCGGCGGCGGGAGGGGGGCATCTTTGCCAGAGCTAGGGCTATGCTGCTTGGACTTTCAGCCTCCAAAACCATGCTCTAAATATACCTCTTTTATTTAATAAGATAGTGAAGACTGGGTACTTATAAAGCAATGAGAAACAGGCCAATACAGAGGCCCGAGTCTCATGAGAGGGTCTTCCAAGATCCTCAGAAATAAAACGTCTTACATCAACCTCTTGGCCACACAACAAGAGGGGATCAGAGGGATGGTATCTTTCAGGAGGAAGAAGTGGGTCTGGGAGAGGGGCTACACAGCAGAATTCCTGGGAAAAACACACTGAGGCTCCTGACTTGGCTCCCTCCCAGGTTTCAATGGGTTGAGCACCATCAAAATTATATCTTACTTTTTTTTAATTAGGTGAGGATAACTACACTGAGCCTACACCAAACATGGTTGGTAACTCTTGAGCGTTTTTGGGAGAAAGCGCAGAGTCAGCGCTGTGACTAGCCCTGCTCATTTTATCAGCAAAGCTTGCCAAGGCTGCCCAGCCCTTTGGCTCGAAGGCTGGGGAGAAACAGCAATTTATGGCTCACCATGACATCCCAGACTCCACATAGTACAGCTAAGCCTGCAGATGTCTGGTGCTGGCCCAAGAAGCCAGGCTAAAACTGGAACAAATATACAGCAATAAGGAGAGAAAGAGTGTGTGTATGTGTGTATAGACATGCACACACACTCACACGCGCGAGCACACACACACACACACACAAACACATCAAATTAACCCACAAATTGAATCACTACAGGGAAAGAGGGGTTTGAGAATTTTTACTTGGTAAACTAAAGGCCTCAAAGTGTTACCCTTTGGATAATAGTTTGGGTATGCCCCCAGAGCCCATGCACTAGGGGCTTTCTCTCCATGGTCTAACACCAATGGTTAATGGTTTAGGGCAGAGATTTCATTGAACATGGCATGTAAGAGGTGGGCCCAGTGGGAGGGCTTGAGGTCACTGGGCTGTGTCCTCAGTAGGTGGTTCTTGGGAGAGGGTTGGTTGTAAGCTAGCTGGGACTAGCTGCCACATCTGCTTCCTGGTTCACCAGGTGGTCAGTCCTCCACCTTCCAGCCTCCCCCGATGCCTAAGGGAGCAGCCAGAGCTGACGGGGATCCTCTAAAATCCTAAGCCCCAATAAACCTTCTTCCTAAGTGGTTCCTCTCGGGTATTTTAGTTGGAGTAACGACAATCTAATAAGTGAAACACCGAGTAGGTTAACATTCCCAAGTTGCCCAAAAGGAAGAGCTGAAGACCTCATTTTCCTACACCTTTCTGCCATCTTTGGGGACAGGAGAGTCGATCTGTTGACTGGCCTCTCTGCTGTTTGCTGAACCTTTGGGACAGCATCGAAGATTCATTTCTGATGAAAATGGCTCACTGGGTTTCTCCACCACCTGGCCCCAGCCAAAGTGCCGATCTTCTTTCTGTAATTTTGTGGTCTTCACCCTTTCTCTTTCATCTAGTCTCTTTTCTGGTATGACACTGCTTTTTTCCCCTCCTCAAACCAGTCACTTCTCACGGTTGAATAATGTTTACATAAGAAAATGGACCCCCAGATGTGTTTTTAAAGAAGGCACGTCCAACCGACAACAGAAAACAATGCACAATGTAGTGAACTCTAAATCACCTAGATTTTCCTACTTGTGTGTTTTATGAATTTGATATGAGGCTGTTTCAAAAAATTCATGGAAAAGTGAAATAAAAGACAAATTTATCGTGGTGCAAAACATTTTTTAAATCTATAGTTTTTAAAGAATACACATTTTTCATGAATGCTTTGAAGACCCCCTCATAGTATATCTTTGGTCCAGAGTCTGTTAGTGGCTGTTTTTATAAATAGGTTAAGTTTCTGTGAGAAAGTATACTCCCCCAGGAACAAACTGGTTAAAAACATTTATTTAATGTTAGGGTTTTCACAGTTTGCTTTCTCCAAAGAAACACTTACAGAATCTGCTTTCGACAATTCCACCAATCCCTCTGCCAGAGCTCTTGCAACTTCTTGGTTATTCACAATGTTGGTCAGACCCGCAGTGTCGGACAGAAACTGCCCTGTGAACACAGGGCCACAGGCCTGGGAATTAGTTTAGTAAGAGGTGCTACTGAAAAGCAAACAACTCAGTCCTCACTGCTGCTTTTCAGTGGACAAAAATGCAAAGAATAGGAGTAAGACTTCTATTCAGCTATGAGGGTTTCTACTATGAGAAAACCCAACATGGGATAATGCAATATAAATAGGCAACATGAATAAAGTACTCACCCTACAAAAGTGAGACTGAATGACATCTGTAAATTGGACAATAAAGAGGGAACACATGACACATTACCCTTTAAGTGTAAAGGTTAGATTGTCAATCCCACCAAAATTCCCTCTATACCATCCTTTATCTCTGTTCTCAAAAACATAAACGTTGGGCCTGGAAGGAAAGCCACCACCTGTGATGCTGACATCTATATCCAGCTCTCTGCTAATAGCCTGAGAAAAGAAGACGACGGCCCAAGTACATGGGCACCTGCCACCCATGTGGGAGACTTGGAAGAAGCTCCTGGCTTTGGCCTGGCCCAGTGCTGGACATTGCATTGCAAACATCTGAGGAGTGAACCCTTCGATGGAAGATTCTCTCTTACTCTTTCAAATAAGCAAATCTTTTAAAAAGTCAACATTTTAAGTCCACAGGACATACATTACAACATGCATACACCAACACCTTCTGACTTTTTACATAGTGCTGTATAGCACGCATTTGTCTACAAACACTGGTCTTCCATGAACTTTTCATCGCCTACTTACATCATAGGAAAATCCCTCTATCTTTGTAAGTTTACCCTTCTACTTTTCTCTAGTCCTTGATATTTATGAAAGGACCAGGAGAAATTATTTCTCCCTGTTTATAGCATTGTAACTATTTTCCAATATTGGTTGAACATCTCCTAAAAGGAAAAATAAAACCAACCAAGAAGATAAATCCCTGTTAGGGAGGCATTTGTGTAAAGACAGGCAAGATGCCTGCGTGCACACTTGTGTGTGACTGCTCTAATGTGGAGTCTGTAGAGAGACATTACAGGCGGCGGCCAGGCAGTGGAACTGAGGGGAGATAAAGACACACAATGCCTGAGGAGATAGGGTACCTTAGTCAGACGGGAGATACTAGGGGAACAATGAAGAGGGGATTACAGATGGGCAGAAAATTCCCTGTGTACCTAGGTGGTGAGGGATTCTTCGTTTTAAAGAACAGACTGCTTTAAGTGAATATCTGAAGCAGAGACACTGCATTGTTTCCAAAAGGTTCTCAAGTGAGAAATGCAATCACGGGAATAGGGTGTGTGAATGGGGTGGGGCCGGGGTCAGGGAATCAGTGGTGTCCAACAGACTCAGCAAAGAACTGCGGAGCCCATCACCAAATGATGGCGTTTAGATGGAAAATTAACAGAACATCAATGGCAGAGCACTTTGGAGAAGGAGTGCTGTGGCATATGCTTTACTTTTGAAGCAAATTGTACTGAGAAAAGGACAATGCCCTCTGGCTGAGCTGACAGCAGATTCTGTCTAAGCGTACCGTTGACTGACATAGGGATTAATAAGATAGCAAAAGCTGTTACTTTAATTTTTCTGAGAGGCAGAAAGACAGAGGTGGGGGAGCCTCCCATCTACTGGTTCACTCCCCAGAGAGCTGCAATAGCCAGGGCTGGGCCAAAGCCAGAAGCCAAAATCCCAATCCAGATCTCCCACGTGGGTGGTGGGGACTCCATTACTCGCACCGTCACTGGTTACTTTCCATGGTCTGCGTTAGCAGGAATCTGGAGTGAGGAGCCAGCCCTGGAGAGAGAACTAGGAAGTCTGATGTGGGACTCGGGTGCTTAAATTGCTTACTGTCTAGGTGGGCAGGTAGCCTAGCAGTTAAGACAGGGATTAAAGGAATAAAAAACAGCTTTGGCCTTTGAACATGAATATGCTTATTCGAGTGGATATTCATTATATTTCACAGGAAATGGAAATGTGAAAAACAGAGGATCAAGTTTTGCTGATGATGAACATTAGCTGAGTGTTACTTTTTCAAGTGTAGGCCGATACCTCAAAATTAACCTGCCACAGACGGAGGGGTTGAGAGTTCTCACCTATCATCCGGCCACTGATGCTCTTCCGCAGCTCCTGGAAGAGAGGACGTAACTGCTTCCTCACCGCTGTCAGGGTGTCTTCCAGGAAGTCCGTGATGCGGGACCACATGCGCAGCTTGACTTCGTTGAAGTAGATGGCAGGCGGTGGCCTTTCCCACAGCGCTCCCAGCCAGTCACTGAGAACTGACATCATTGCCTCCTCTTAGCATTGCACACTTGTACTCCAATGCAAGAACTGTACTTCTTAAAGCACAATGAAAGCCCAGTATTTATTGCAGGTTCATCATCCTTTCTCGCTGGAGGACTAAAATAAATCCCCATGGTATGCATTCGAAGGTAAAATTAGAAACTTCGAAAGGACATATTGAGGGGTCGGCACTGTGGCATAGCGAGTTAAGCCACTGCCTGCAGTGCTGGCATCCCATATGGGCACCCGTTTGAGCCCCAGCTGCTCCACTTCTGATCCAGCTCTCTGCTGTGGCCTGGGAAAGCAGTAGAAGATGGCCCAAGTCCTTGGAAACCTGCACCTGCGTGGGAGACCAGGAAGAAGCTCCTGGCTCCGGATTGGCTCAGCTCCAGCCATTGCAGCCAACTGGGAAGTGAACCAGTGGATGGAAGACTGACTCTCTCTCTCTCTCTCTCTCTCTCTCTCTCTTATTGAACCTTTCACATGGCTATCTACCCTTAGACAAGGTAGATAAACCATGTTTAAAATCAAATATTAAATACTTCTTGTGTTTGTACTGGGAAAGCAGAGTAATCATCTAGGTAAGAATGTACTGCTTTATCTTTTCAAAAATTATTTCAGAGGCAACGAGAGACAGGACAGAGACAGTGACACAGCAGGAGTTCCCATTTGCTGGCTCACTCCCCAAATGCCTGCAATGGCCAAGGCTGGGCTGGGTCTGAAGTCCATAGCAAAAACTCACTCCAGGTCTCCCTCATGGGTGGCAAGAACCCAAGTACTTGAGCCATCATCTCTGCCTCTCAGGGTGAGCACTAGATAGAAGCCAGTGTTAAAAATCAGTACCAGGTATGGAACTCAAGTATTCTGACATGAGATGCAGGTGTCAGGTGTCTTAAACTTGCACCCTTGCTTTATCCTTTTATTCTAAAAAGTGAAAAAAACTTAAAAGTCCCCATATAGAGGGGGAAAGAACCAGTGTATTAACTGCTTTTGTCTTTTAGTGGTTGTGGAGTGGGCATGTGCTAGAGCTTGGGATCAGTTCCAGGTGTACTTACTGTGTTGGTAAGAGCCAGTTGCAATCCCAGTGGGGGCAGTAAAGAAGGTACCAGTCAGCTGAGACAGCTGAGCAAGAACTTCAGTGCCTGCCTCTGCACAGTCAAAAAATACTTGCATTAGTTCACTCACAAGGTTGGCCATGGAACAGGTCAATGGCACACAAGAGTACTAAGCAGCTGGCCAAGAAAGGTCACTGCTAGTTGTCATCTTCAATTCAAATTGCTCAACTCAACAGCTCATAAACACATTACAGTTCATCTCTGCTACAGAAGTGCTACTATGAAGACTATGTAACAGGGTAGGGGAAGAGGGCATGGAGTTGGACTTGGTGGCTATTTTCAAATACAGAATACTCAGCCCAAAGGCAGAGAAAAATCTACATTGATTTTCCAAAATAGCTTAACTCAAAGTTGTCTTTCTTGTAGAAGACAGATTTAACAGTGACAGGATGAATTATGCAACATTTATGCGGCCTATTCACCTCCTCATGACATAGCATGATGATTCCGAATTGAATCATAGATTGACTCCTAGAGTGAACTAGTGCCTCCCTAGCATCAGGAAAATGCTATTCAAACCCAATGAAAGCCGGCGCCGTGCTCAATAGCTATTCCTTCCACCTTCCGGCGCCGCCCCGGGTTCTAGTCCCGGTTGGGGCCCCGGTTCTGTCCCGTTCCCCTTTTCCAAGCCAGCTCTCTTCTATTGCCCAGGGAGTGCAGTGGAGGATGGGCCCAGGTGCTTGGGCCCCTGCACCCCATGGGAGGCCAGGAAAAAGCACCTGGGATCCTGGCTCCTGCCCATCGGATCACACGCGGTGCGCCGGCTGCAGCGGCGGCCATTGGAGGGTGATCCAACGGCAAAAGGAAGACCTTTCTCTCTGTCTCTCTCTCTCACTGTCCACTCTGCCTGTCAAAAAAAAAAAAAAAAAAAAAAAAAAAAACCACAATGAGGTTTCACGTCACCCCAGTTAGAATGGTTTCATACAGAAATCAACAAACAAATGCTGGTGAGGAAGTGGGGGAAAAGGACCCTAATCCACTGTTAGTGGGAATGTAAACTGGTAAAGCCACTATGGAAGATAGTTTGGCGATACCTCAGAAATCTGAATATAGACCTACCATGTGACCCAGCCATCCCACTCCTGGGAATTTACCCAAGAGAAATGAAATCAGCATATGAAAGAATTATCTGAACCCCTGTGTTTATTTCAGCTCAGTTCACGATAGCTAAGACATGGAATCAACCCAAATACCCGTCCAACTGAAGACTGGATAAAGAAATTATGGGATATGTACACTATGGAATACTTACGCAGCTATAAAAAATGAAATCCAGTCATTTGCAATGAGGAGGATGGATCTGGCAAACATTGTACTTAGTGAAATAAGCCAGTCCCAAAGGGACTAATACCATATGTTCTACCTGCCCTGTGATGATAGAGCACCTAAAAGGAAATCTGTAAAATTGAAATTGACACTTTGAGAAGGGATGACTTGAACAGCTCTTGTCTAGACTGTTGAGGAACAGTTTTTTTTTCTTATACTATTTGTTGAATTCTTTACTTAACAGAGTTAATTATATGTGTCTAAATTTAATTGAAAATAGGTCTTAGTAAAAAAATACGAGTGAGAATAAGACAGGGAAGAGGAACAGGGGTGGGAGTGGGGATGGATATGGGTGGGAGGGTGGGCACAGCAGGAAGAATCACCATGTTCCTAAAATTGTAATTATGAAGTATATGAAGTATGTACTTTCCTATGGAAATACTTCTAAGAATACAGTTCAAAAACTTGTCAGGGAACCCAAACCCCTTAAGTTGGGTGGTAAAAATACCATCTTAAGTGTCAAAATGATCATATAAATTGGATTAAGTGTCTGGTAATAATAATATAAAGAATTAAAAAGGACTGAATGCTCCATATGGGAAGCAGTCCGCACAGCAGACTCATAGAATGACAGTTGCTTTAAGTAGCACTCTGACCTCAGAAACAGCTTTTAAGGCATTCTGGTTTGGCTGAAAAGCCCAGAGGAGCCTTTCAGGCATGGAAAGCCAAGACACTGTTGCCAAAAAAAAAAAAAGTCTACATGAAGGACCTTTGTGGGTGAGACCCCAGTGGAAAAAAGTGATCAAAGAAGGAGGTAACTTTTCTCTGAAGAGAGGAGAGAACTTCTGCTTTGCTTGTGGCCTTATCTAAATACTGAAGGAGTTTGTGGATTCAAAAGGCTTCCATAAGGCCCCCTCCATGCTGCTCTGGCTGGAGGTCTTTGACTCTAACAAATCTTTGTAAATCACACACAAAAATAACAACACACTTCCATAGCCTAGACAGCTCATATCAAGAGCCTCAGGTGAACACTGGTGTCATATAAAGGAGTGTTAATTGTTAAATTAACATCAAGAGTCACTATGCACTAACTTCTCATTCAGGACCTCTGTCCTCAAAGAGTTGTATTATAATTATGTCTAAGTGCTCACAAAAGATGTATCATTCTTGGGTGCTTCTTTAAAGTTAATTAAGTTTCTAAAAAAAAAAAAGTGAAATTAACTTCAAGATGTAATGACTTTAACAGCCCTTGTCTCAACTGTCGAGGAACAGTTTGTGTGTGCACGCATGCAAGTTGTTGAACTCTTTAGTTAGTTTAGAGTTGGTCTTCTGTGTATAAAGTTAATTGAAAACAGATCTTAGTGGAGAATGGTACTGTGAATGTGAGAGGGAGAACAAGGAGGGGTGGGAATATGGGTTGGAGGATGGGTATGGGGGAAGAATCACTATATTACTAAAGTTGTACTTGCAAAATGCATGAAGTTTGTATTATTTAAATGAAAGTTCTTTGGAAAAAAATAAATGGATAACAAATTAAAATACGAAACTTGGCTGTAACTCCTTTAGAAAAAAGTAAGAAGGGGCCAGCACTCTGGCGCAGCGGGTTAATGCCTTGGTCTGAAGCACAGGCATCCCATATGGGCGCCAGTTCTAATCCTGGCTGCTCTACTTCCAATCCAGCTCTCTGTTATAGCCTGGGAAAGCGGTAGAAGATGGCCCAAGTCCTTGGGACCCTGCACCTGCGTGGGAGACCCGGAAGAAGCTCCTGGTTCCTGGCTCCGCTCCGGCCATTGCAGCCAACTGGGGAGTGAATCAGTGGATGGAAAACCTCTCTCTATCTCTCCTTCTCTCTCTGTATAACTCTGACTTTCAAATAAATAAATCTTTATAAAATATTTGAAATTAGTTATTAGATATGATACCAACAGCATGATCAAGAAGAAAATCCTGATAAGTTTGACTTCATGAAAATTAAGAACTCTATTTTTCTGAACAAAGTGGTCAGAGAAAGAAAATATCAAACTCTAAAGAGAGACAAAGGAAGATAGATAAATGACAAATGGGTGCATGAGAAGATGCCCGGCACTGCTGGTCGTTAGGAAAATGCAAACAAAGCACATGAGAGACTGCCATCACCCACATGAAGGGCTAAAATTAGGAGACTCACCACACCAAGTGTTGGAGTGCTGGCAGCTTTATTCATAAAAGCCAGAAACTATAATGTACCCAAATATCTATCAACAGGTGAATGGATGGATAAAATGTTGACCTATCGGCACATGCAAGGATTCCCAGCAGTAAAAAGGAATGTTTCTGATACACAAATCAAATAGATGAGGCTGATATCATTCTGACTGCAGAAGGCAGGCAAAAAAGGAATTCCATGTATAGGAAAATGCACAAGATGTAAACACAGTGAGAGAGAGTGGAACAGTGGTGGCCTCAGGATGAAAGAGGGGAGAAGCAGGACAGAGAAACTGTAAGGTGCCGTGACAAGGCTTTGGGGGTGACAAATATGTTCACTTTCTTGTTTTATGGTTTCTCAAGATACACACACCTATGCCAAAACTCGTCCACTCTAAGATGTATGGTTTACTGTCTGCCAATTACACCTCATTAAGCTGTTTAAAATTGTTAAACGATGACCAAAAAACCCCACAAGTTTTAGATTTTTGATTCCTGTGGTAACAAAGTAAACAACGGTATTGTTGCAGAGGAATCCTGAGGAAACAATAGGTTTGGTTTTGGGGAGAGAGTTTGTTCCAGGTGTGTCAAGATGTCTATTAGACACTCAAACTAAGCATCCTAGTGAGGAGTTACACAAAGAGGCCGCAGCTCAGACGTCAGAGGTGGGGGCAGAGATGTGGGAGTCCTCGGCCTACAGGCAGAATTCAGAGTCACGGGACGTGTTCAGAAGGTCCAGGGCACCGTGTGTGTGTGGGAAAGGAGAGGGTCCCCGACAAGGGCATCCAAGGGCCTCACGGAGAAAGAGGGGACAGCAGAGGTTTCTTTGGAAGGTCCCTGGGATAGGTAACCAGCAGAGTGAGACTGAGAGGAGGAACGTGCATCTGCATCAACACCACGCAAGACCTCAAACAAGGTCAAGAGACAGGACGAAGATACACTGGATTTGGGCACTGGGGAGTCACATCCAGTCTTCCCAAAGGGCTTTCGGAGGAGATGGAGAGACCCCTTGGAGCACCTTGAAGACAGAATGGGCAGTGAGGAAGGCAGAGGCCACCAGGACAGAGCAGAGGTTCTCCAAAGTGTGGTCAGTGACCAGCAGCCTTAGCATCACCTGGGAACTCCCCAGGAATAAGGATTCTCCAAGCCCCTCCCCAGATTAAAGCAACCAGAAACTCTCGGGAGGGGAGCAGCAAGATGTGCTGTAACAACACACAGCCCCCCACAGAACCCCAAAATGACCAAAGCCTCGAATCACTGGCCTGATCAACTTGGAATGTGATAAGGGAAAAATTCAGTGTTGTTGTTGTTGTTGTTAAAGACAGGTGATCCTACAGATGCGCCTGATTTTATAGAAATGGTCTAACTGGGAGAGGCTAGAAGCCACTCAGCTGCACACTTTAAATATGCGCAGTCTGCTGTGTGTCAACTACAACTCAAAGCTGCATAAACAATTTTAAATAATGACCCCCCAAATTAGGTGAGTCTTAGAGTTTTAGCTTATGCCACAGAGAGGCTTTGAGTGTAGTTTTGAGTGACAAGTGATGGGAAACAGAACCAAGTGGAGCAGTTGAGCTCTGAGCAGGAGTAACTCTTCCATCTAACAGAAGGGAACACAAAAGGACAGCAATGGGATGGGTGGTGGAACTGGTGGCGAGAGGAAAACTAGGGAGTTCCTCAATGATTGCATTTTAAGAAAATAAGAGATGAGGTCAAAAACTATGAGGTTATTGGAAGATTGACTGACTAAGAAGGGATGAAACTGTCAGCTCGAAGAGCAGGAGCGAATCTGCCCAGGCAGTGGGGTACACTTGCTCATCAGTGTTGCAAGCCCAGCAGCTGTCACTGGGCGCCATCAAGTTCCACTTAAGACAATAGTGCCCCTTCCCATCCTGTTCTTTTCTTTCCCTTGATTGAAGCCTGCCAGGGACATGCTTTGTCTGTATTGAATGTTCATGTAAAACCTGAGCATTAAGACAGACTTGAAAACTCACAGTTCTCTAAGGAATGGACAATAAGCAATGGCTTGGGAAATGGCAGATTTCACACTCCCTTCTCTACTGCTCTGCTTGGGCAAAATGCCCTGGGCCATGAATGCAGAGTTTTTATTGGACAGATATAAAAGGAGTGAATTTGATTTCATGTTTCTGAAGTTCTTCGAGCACTGAAATCAACTTTGAATCGTAGGGGCTGATTGGAAACAGGCAGGCACTTAAAGCTACACCAGCAACCACAGGGATCCTCAACCACATGTTTGTGGACAAGGCATTGTTTTTAATATTGTCTAAGTATTTACATTACTATTTGACATTTATGTTATTTTGATATTCACATGTCGTTATGGTCAGGTAAGATACTATTATCCTAACTTTCATAAGAGCAACTGGAAGTCCACTCATACGCCTAAGGTCGCACAGCTAAAAAGTGGCAGGAGGGGACCCAGGTCCGGGTCTTTGGTTCATGTTCACTCCACTCAGAACACAGCAATATTCACAGAAGTAAATATCATAACGTGGGCATGACCACTCTCTCTAGTGACTTCATAGCTGACCTGATGCTCCAAGTGGCACAAACAAGTCTACGTGTCCTCCTTCTTCTTCAGTGGCCACATAGCTTCCTAATTTCTCCCAGAAGTCTCTCACTTCAGGCTTCAGTAGATTCTTAATGCCAATTTTACAGCCTGAGGGGGGGGAAATCAAAATGGCTTATTAGTTTCTAACAGTACCCTGACCATAAACTCTAAGCAGTTCATCCAAATGTACCACAAATTCAACAGTCAACATGGACCAGCAAGACCAAGTTCTCCATGGCACCTCTGCTTTGTGCTGGACCACTCTGGGGCCACTGGGCACCCCCACAGCTATTGTCTCCCTCATGTTCTTAGATTAATTGGATGCTGTGCACTTGGGCTTAAGATATTGTGTCTTTGCCCACACCATGCAGTGCTGTGAGTTACCAGGCTCTTCTAGGATTTAAGGTGGATGTCCGGTCATTTTCTAGAATTTTGCAAATGGAGTTTCCAAGTAGAAAAGAGTTTTCCCACAATTGTGGATCAAAACAATAAGGAGTTTGGAGCAAGTAAGGCTCCCAGTGATGGCAACTTCAGCTGAAACACCCCTGGGCCCGCACTTCATGTGCCAATCCCACCAAGCTGTGTGTCTGGACTTATCTCTAAAGGAGGCATAGGCAATGAAATGTAAACAAGGTCAGGTACAAAGACCCTGATGCTTGGTTCCCTCCCTTTGAGAGCCCTACATATAAAGTGGAAAGACCTCTGGGAGTGATGGGTTAAGAGATTTCATTCTGGTGTCAGTGTTTGGGAGAACACTGTATATTGTAAAGAGAAATCAGGTTTATCAGAGTTATTACTGTTACTACTGCATAAGGAAGAGTTTGGAAATCTTCCTCATCTGGTAAACAAGCAGGCTGTAATAGGAAAACTAACAGGCTCTCCATATGAGCTGAACTTACTACCATGGGATAAACTTGCAATTTTCACCTCCCCACTATGTAGAGAAAAGATAAGCAATTCATTCTAACTTCAAACCTCAAATAAACAGCATCTGTGCCTTCTTTTGGAGGGATATGTAAAATTGAACACAGAACACAATTTGCTCCAGGCTCAGTTGAACGAAACAAGAAAAGCCAAAAATAAGATAAAACTTTATTTAAAAAATGCATGTGAGGGGCCAGCCTGTGGTGTAGCAGGTAAGGCTGCCGCCTGCAGTGCCGGCATCCCATATGGGCACCAGTTCGAGTCCCAGCTGCTCCACTTCTGATCCAGCTCTCTGCTATGGCCTAGGAAAGCAGTAGAAGATGGCCCAAGTCCTTGGGCCCCTGCACCCACATGGGAGACTCAGATGAAGCTCCTGGCTCCTGGCTTCTGATTGGCCCAACTCTGGCTGCTGCGGCCAATTGGGGAGTGAACCAGCAGATGGAAGACCTCTTTCTCTCTCTGTGCCTCTCCCTCCCTCTCTGTGTAACTCTGACTTGCAAATAAATAAATCTTTTTTAAAAAGTCCATCTATCTCTGCCAATAATAAAGTTCACAGCAAGAGCCCCCAAGTGCCCCAAGCTTTAGCTGCAGAGAGGGCAAGTCTGATGGGCGACTCAGGGACTCGCTCTGCCACTTTGTGGGTTCCCTGCTGGCTCCATCCTACGTCATCTTATTATCTTCTCTCAACACACAGGATGGAAACTTTCACATTAGTAAAATTCAAAGCAATTATGCTTCAGCAAAAAGTAAGGGGCCTTGCAAGTCATGAATAAGGAGGAATGTAACATGGAAATTTACTTCCAAAACATTCATTATCTCCTTCTCGAAAAAGGGTGTATCTACTGAGGTTTTTACAAACTGCTCCATAAGAAGTAAATTATCTCAGTCATTCCTTCCCCTTGTGATGTAAACCAGTGTGAGTGTAACCAGTGTGTAGATCTTGGTATTTGCTGTCAAAACTGTTTCACTTTCATCAAACTTAAAATATGGGAGCCTCAGGGGACACAATCAAGAGTGAAAAGGAAACTATGAAATGGAGAAGCTGTTTGCAAACCACGTATCTGATAAGGAGTTAATACCCAGAATATATGAAGAACTCCTATGATTCAACCCATGGGAAAAACTCAACTAATCCAATTTTTCTTAATGATATACAAGTAGCCAACAAGGATTTGAAAAGATGCTCAGTGTCATTCATCTTTAGAAAATGTAAATCCAAACTACAATGAGCCATCATCTCACATCTTATCTACTAGAATGATTACTATAAACACACACACACACTCCCACACACAGAAAATAACAAGTGTTGGCAAGGATGTAGGGAAATCAATCCTTGTGCGTGATTGGTGCAATAGCTGTGGAAAAGAGTATGGAGTTTCTCAAGAAATTAAAAATAGAATTACTGTATGATCCAGCAATCCCATTTCTGGGCATATATCCAAAAACACTGAACGAAGGATCTCAAAGAGGTATTTGTACACCCAGTATTGTAGTCAGTACTGTTCATAATAGCTCAGAAGGGAAGAAAGGCAAGTATTTATCAGTAGCTGAATGGATAAACAAGATGTGGTATACAACATTCACTAGAATGTTATTCGGTTTTTAAAAGGAAAAAAATTCAGCCAATGCTTTAAAAAATGTGAATGGACCTTGGGAACATAATGCTAAGTGGAATAAGCCAGTCACAGAAAAACAAATACATAGGATTCCACTCACATGAGGTATCTATGATACTCAAATTCATAGAAACAGAAAGTGAAATGATGGCTGCCATGAGCTTGGGGAGGGGAAGGAGAGCCATTATTTGATTAAAAACGGAGTTGCAGCTTTGCAAGGTGAAAATTTTCTTGAGAGCCGCTTCATAACAATGTGAATATACTCAAAACTACTGAATTGCCCACTTAAAAATGGTTAAGATGGCAGTTCTTACGTGGTTTTAAATCTCAATTTAAAAAAAATTCATCAAAACATTGCTTCACTTTTTTCATAAAGGCACAGTCAGCACTTAGCAAACTGCAGCTTACATAGCACTCTGAAAGGTGAACACTTCACAAAGTTGTTTGGTTGTTCTTTGCCAATTCCCAGTCCTACCTTGGAGCAAATGGATTTCTCTGCTGTTTCCATCACTAAATAGGCCCATGCTCTGTGCCTTCCGCCCAGCCAGAGCTTTTTCTATGAGATAAAGCAGGCTCTCCAAGGTGATGCCACTGTGTTCATATACAACAGAGATGACGTCTGCCTTCACACTCTCCACCACCATCTAGAAAACAAAACCAGACCTGGAGGAACGGAAGCCCGCTATTCTAGAGCACACTGATCAAAGCAGTACGACACTGTGATTTCTAAATAATTTTTTTAGAAATTATGTGAGGAAGAATATTTGATTTTCATTTGTTTCTTTGAAATTATTTTATTTTATTTTCTAATTATAGGAGGAAATTAAGTGCACTTGTAATTTTATCAGAGATAAATATTGTTAACAAATTCTTTTCTCCCAGCCTTTTTATCTTTTTACATACCATGCAGAGACACTTATACAACTTTTAAACAATAAAATTGACATTATACAACTTCACAATGAACTTTTTAAACAGACTTGCAGTTTTCTTAATTGTGAGTTTTTGAATTATCGATATTGATAAATATTTCCCATTTAAATATATTAAAAACACTGTCCTTTAAAATTAAAACCAGGTATGATAATTCATAGAAGAGGACAGGTTAGAAAGTCACTGAAGTTGTTTATTTTTTTCTAAAACCTTGTTGTCATTTTCTGGCAGCCACAAGCCAACTAAATAAAGAACTACTCCATGTTTGTGCTCTACTTTCTACTTCAGTCCCAGCACATCCATAGTCAAATGATATAATCAAATTATATCATAAAGTGAGCCAATAGGGGAATAGATTTAACCAGTTTATTCATCCACATTCTGTCACCAATTATCCTCTGTGCCCAGCATGAAGCATTTTTAAACTTCTGGGCAAGTGTCTGTGGTCCACATGGAGATCAAAGCTGACTGCGACTTCAGGCCGATTCTCTCAGTTCCCCAGTCAAAGACTACAGGCAATTCCTAGATACTTAGAAGTGACTTCTGCTCATACAAATAGGAACTTTTGAGACAAATTTCTAAGTAAGCCAATGGATATAGCCTACTGATTGTCTTCCTTTTCATATGTCCCTAGGTATGTGAATTGCTACAAATGGTACACATATAGAGATGCCTCTTAAAATAATTCACAGTAACACATTGCATCCTGATCAACTCATCATAAGTTGAAAATATCATAAGTAGAAAATGAATTGAATGTACTTGACCTATCGGCCATCAAAGCTTAGCAGCTCAATATACTGCACAACCTTACTGCTTTCCTCACAATCACAGGTCTAACTGGGAGCTGCCACTGTCCAGCATCCAGGAAGGATCATTTCACACAGGACTAGCCCCAAAAGACATCAAAGTCCATAATTCAAAGTATGGTTTCTAGACTTTTCCGTTAGATTCCAAGATGGCAGAATAGGAAGGGAGCTTACTGCTCTAGTCTAGGGGAAGATAGTTAAAAGGAAAAAAAAAGTGGATAGAGTGCAAACTCAGGGAAGAGTTAGGGAGAAAAGTGCAGAGTAAACTCCATGCAAATTAGAGGTCACTGTGGATCTATGTGGAGGATGTGGACAAGCAAAACTCAGGACTCCAGCAGCTGAGAGCCTCAGCACCAGCCTTTGAGAGTGAGGCGAGATCAGACTGCAGCTGCCCAAGCCACTGGCAATAAAGCTGCAGGAAAAGCCTGGTGTATGTCTGGCTTGGAGCCCAGTGAGGGACAGTGTACCTGACAACCCAGAGGGAAAAAAGGAGGAGGTGCACATTTCTCTCTCCCCAACCACCCAGCACAGTGTCCTGTAACTAGCTGAGAGGGCCTGGGTGCCATTTTGGACATACGTAACAGCTGTGCCAGCTTGGGTCTGTGCACATAGCAACCAATAAAGAGGAGATGCCTCAGTCTGGCTGGGAGAATTGACAGGGGGATGAGTGCTTGCAACTGTGGGAGCCTTGTGTGTTGAGACTGTGAAAATACTGTGGCTGCATGGGAGGGTGAAGGGTGTGGCTGGGTTTCTGAGCAATCACTGTGGGTGGCTCCACACACTTAGGGCTCCCCAATTGCCTGGTGAGAGTCACTGCTGAGGGATTCATGCTCACACTAAGGACTGTACAGATCCATTGTGAGGTTCTTGTGGCAGTGCAGATGAATATTGCACCCACTGCAGCTAGGAGGTAGGCATTGGTCTCCTTGGAGGTGAGGAAATGAGCATGATGCCAACAGAGCTGATCAAAACCCCCTATGATTAAAAAAAAGTGGGCAGATTTACTATGCCTGAACTTGAGTGTCATCCTGGATACTTCCCTCACCATGGAGCACTGAACAGAGCTCCCTGGCCACACTCAGAACATACCTCTGGGTATTCACTGAAAGAGTAGACACTCCACTAAGCCACAGAGGTCTAGTCCAAAGACAAAAGTGATGAAAGCCATCACAGGGGGAAGAAAACCCCAACAATTATCTCTAAAAATGCCTAAACATAAACATAGAAACTCAAGAAACAAGAATAAGGAAGATGGGGTCGGTGCTGTGGCACAGCAGGTTAACGTCTCTACCTGCGGCACCAGCATCCCATATGGGCACCAGTTTGAATCCCAGCTGTTCCTCTTCTTATCCAGCTCCCTCTTTTGGCCTGGGAAAGCAGTGGAAGATGGACCAACTGCTTGAGCCTCTGAGCCCCTGTGAGAGACCCAGAGAGAAGCCCCTAGCTGCTGGCTTTGGATTCGTTCTGCTCCAGCTGTTGCAGCCATTTGGGGGGTGAATCAGCAGATGGAAGATCTTTCTCTCAGTCTCTTCCTCTCTGTAACTCTGCCTCTCAAATAAAAATGAATCTTATATTAAGTCAAAAAGGAAAATATAAGGAAGACAACATAATTCCCCTAAAAGAACACAGAATCACTTCACTACTAGAATGTGAAGATCAAGAGATTGAGGAAATGCCAGAAATGTAATTTAAAAGATTGATCATAGGTTTACTCAGAAGTAATCAGAAGCAAATCCATCAATTAAAGAAAGCCATACAGAACATGAATGAAAATTTTCCCCATGAAATTGACATTTTTAAAGAAAAATCAAAATTTAATATTGGAAATGAAGAACTCATTAGATCAAATTTAAAATGGTGGTGGAAAATCTTAACAGACTCAGGCAGAAGAAAGAATATCCAAGTTAGAAGAAAAATCTGGAAATTTTACAGTCAGACCAAAAATTAAAAAAAAAAAATAGAAAACTAAAAAACACTGTTGGAAATTTAAGGGATACTATCAAACCCAACATATGGGTCTTAGGAGTTCCTGAAGGCATGTAAATAGAAAATGGATTAGAAGATCCTTTTAGTGAAATGATTACAGAAAACTTGGGCAATTTGGAGAAAGAAAGGGATGTCCAAGTACAGGAAGCACATAGAACTTCTGGTAGACATGACCAGAAGAGATCTGCACCATAACACATTGTAGTCAAACTCCACACTAAAAGAAGCAATTCTAAATGTGCACAAGAGAAAGGCCAGATTACTCTCAGAGGATCTCCAATTCGACTCACAGCAAGACTTCTCATCAGAAACCCTACAGGCTAGGAGAGAATGGCGAGATATAGCCAAAGTCCTAAGAGAAAAAAAAAACTGTCAACCCAGAATACTATACCCTGCAAAGCTCTCATTTATGAATGAAGGTGAAATAAAGACCTTCCATATCAAAAATTTCCAAACAAAAAATTGAAAGAATTTGTCACCACCTGTCCAGCCTTACAAAAGATGCTTAAGGATGTGCAACACACAGGAACACCGAAACATGGTCATCACTGTGAAAGAAAGTGAAGACAAAGTCTCCAGTAAAAGCACAAAGGAAATCCAAAGTAAACAATAGGAATGTTTATGGCACTGTGGCTCAATAGGCTAATCTTCAGCTTGCAGCATCAGCACACCGGGTGCTGGGCTGGCGCTGGCGGCCATTGGAAGGTGAAAGGAAGACCTTTCTCTCTGTCTCTCTCTCACTGTCCACTCTGCCTGTCAAAAAAAAAAAAAAAAAAAAAAAAAAAAAAAAAAAAAAAAAAGGAATGTTTATGGAAAAATGGCAGGGCCAAGTCATTACTTATCAGTAGTCATCTTGAAGGTCCAAGGACTTAAACAGACATTTTTCAAAAGAGTCAAAAGAGGAAATCCAAATGGCCAACAGAATCACTAGACATCAGGGAAATACAAATCAAAACCACAATGAGGTTTCACCTCACCCCAGTTAGAATGGCTTTCATACAGAAATTACCAAACAACAAATGTGGTAGGATGCAGGGGAAAAGGCACCCTAATCTACTGCTGGTGGGAATGTAAACTGATACAGCCATCATGGAAGACAGTATGGAGGTAGAAAGGTGAATATAGACCTACCATATGACCCAGCCATCCCACTCCTGGGAATTTACCCAAGAAAAATGAAGTCAGCATATGAAAGAGTTATCCATACCCCATGTTTATTGTAGCTCAATTCATAGTAGCTAAGATATGGAATCAACCTAAATGTCAATTAACTGAAGACTGGACAAGTAAATTATGGTGTATGTACACAATGGAATACTACACGGTTGTAAAAAAATTAAATCCAGTCATTTGTAACAAAATGATACCTCAGGAAAACATTATATTTAGTGAAATAAGCCAGTCCCCAAAGAATAAATATCATATTCTCACTGATCTGTGTAAGTAGAGCATCTAAAAAGTAATTTATAGAAGTAAAATTGACACTTTGAGATGCAATGAGTTTGAACAGCCCTTGTCTTGACTGTTGAGAAACAGTTTTCATTTACCCATACTATTTGTTGAGCTCTTTACTTAGTATAGAGTTAGTCTTATGTGTATAAAGTTAATTCAAAATAGATCTTAGTAAAAAGTAAGAATGGGAATAAGAGGGAGGAGGAAGAAGGGTGGGGAATAGGGGGTAGGGTGGAAGAATCACTGTTTCTGGTGCTGTATTTATGAAACACACGAAGTTTGCATACCTTAAATAAAAGGTTTCTGGGTTTAAAAAAAAAGTGAAAACAAAAACACAAAATATAGGTTTCTACTGAAGAGGTTTAACACCATTGTAAAATAAAAAAAATCATAAGCCAAATCTTTCAAAATCTGAATGCATACATATATACTCATTTTTAAAACACATTTTTCTCCCTGTACCTTCCATGCCTATTATCCTATTATTCACATTCAAATTACAATGTATAACTTTGTCACAGAGCACATTTTAATGGCACCTTCAATTCAATAGCTGATAAAAGAGGATTACTGACATTCTTCTTTTGAAAGGCAATGTTTATGTAATATTAAATTCTTTGGGAATTCCAGGGAAGTTATAAAATAATTTTTTATTTCCATACTATTTTTTGGATTGTAGGCAACAAATCCAATTCAACAAGAATTTATTGGACAACTGTATGACAGCTTGGGCCTTTAATGTTTACTCAAAATAATTTTGATTTATGGTTATCTTTATTGCTTATGATAGGACTGTCTTGGGTCTGTAAATTTCCACTTGATCAGATGATTTTGCTTTTAGGAGATGAATCACTTTCATACACATATGGTGAAAAGATTGCCATACACTCCTTAGATGAAAAAACCTGATTCAGCAAAGAGTTGACCTCACAACCCACTCTGTACCTCATATGCAGGAATCCTGGATGATATTAGAATGAAGTGTGGCTGGAGAGCATATGAATTGCTGTTGTCATCTCTGTAAGCTCCATGCCAATTTTTCTTTGATAATAAAGGATAGGAATGTCTTCCAGAAACATTGCTTCTATAGGGGAAAAATAAGGGAATAAATGAAATTTTGATTTCATTGAATTTTTCAAATTTAAAAATTTTTTAAAAATTTGTTTCATGTATTGGAGAAACACACAGAGAAAGCTCCTATCTGAGCCTTGACTCCCTCCAATGCCTCCAGCAGCTAGAAGCTGGGCCAGGCTCAAACTAGGAGCCTGGAACTAACTACAGTACGGCTCCCAAGTATTTGAACCATCACCTGCTGTCTCCCAATGAGCGAATTAGCCAGAAGCTGAAATTGGGAACAGAGCTGGAATGCAAAGCCAGGTACTCTGATACAGGCCAGGTAAATACCAAATGGCACCTTAACCAGTATACCAAACCCTTGGCCTGAACTTGATTTTTCATTAGTACCAGTATGTCCTCTGGGCACCAGTTGTACTGCACAGGTCCACAGCCTCAGCACCTTACACTCTCTCTGAGGTTTGGAAAATGGCAGCAAATGGAGCTCCTGAACTGACTGAGGCCAAATCTACCCTCAGAGCCTCTCACAGAACGTTCAGACACAGGAGTATCGAGGAGTGAAGGTGAAAAGGGCATTGGAAGTTTGAGGAATTTAGGTTCTGATTTTTTAAAAGATTTTGTTGAGAGGTAGAATTACTGTCAGCGAGAGGGAGAAACAGAGAGGTCTTCAATCCGCTGGTTCACTCCCCATATGGCAGTAACAGCCGGAGATGGGTCAATCGGAAACCAGGAGCTTCCTCTGGGTCCCCCATGCAGGTTCAGGGGCCCAAGTGCCTGAGCCATCCTCTATTGCTTTCCCAGGCCAGAGCAGAGAGCTGGATTGGAAGTGGAGCAGCCAGGACTTGAACCGGTGCCCAAATGGGATGGCAGCACCACAGGTGGAGGATTAACCTACTGTGCCACAACACTGACCCCAGGTTCTGAAGTTTGATGTCATGATTCTTTAGCAAGTAATGCTACCTCTTAAGCCTGTTTCCTCATTTGAAATATAGGTAAGTGTATGACTGTATGACTTGTAGAATCTCAAGTTAAAAAAATTATATTTCTAAGAAGTTACACATATTGTAATAATTCTCAACATACAGAATGGATGAATAGGGCAAGAACTGAGATGTTGGTAATCTCATTACATAGTATGACTTTGGTCACTTAATGCATTTCGTCACTGACATTTCTCTACCTTGGTTAACAGAATAGAATTATATTTGGATATACAAATATAAACAGGAGTTGCATTTGTATATCATTAATCCATAAAGATATGCAAAAATATTATTTTTGCTCAATAACTTTATCCAGAAATATACTATGTCCAACATACAGCCCCATTGCAGGATTAAGGATGTTTGAAATGTTGTTTCAAATGTTGTATACTCATATTTCCCTCTTCAGAAGGCATGGTAAAGAAATATTCTTGAAAATTAAACAATTATTCTTACTGCTATTTCACAGGCTATGAACCACATAATTATGCAAGACCCCTGCATGTCAGCTAAGTTTTTCTACAATAACTTCTTAGCATCACAGGAGGCTCTGGAGCCGTGGGGAGGTGAGATTTGCTTACCGCTTGGGCAAAGCTTCTAGTGATGCCAGAAGCAGCTTCTCCTGAGCTTCGTGTAATCCCATTCGGGCCCTCACAGTCTGGGAGAGACGTGGCTGGCATTTGGATTTTAACAATCTAGAGCAGCATGTTCCACTCACCCAAGGGGGCCGAACTTTGAATAACTCCTCTGAAAAACAGACAGCACCAGGCTCAGCTGTTTACTTCCGGCTTCTCCCAGCCAAGTCTACATAGATAAAGGCATCAACACTAATGCTGTACCCATGGCAATGCACCAAACAATAATTCTGGCCACCTTCACACTCTGGATTTCTTGTCCCCTTGGCACTGCGGCTCCAAGTTACCAGTCATTTCAGGTCAAGAGACAAAGCTCAGAGAACAAGCAACTCTTCCCAGGGAGAACAGTTCATCAAGTCGTAGACTCCACACCCATTTCTGCCCGTCTTGGCTTCAAGTAATTTCCCATTCATTACTCACAGTAAGTGGGGGGGGGGGGGGGGAAAGGTGGGAGAACCCAAATCAACTTTGTTGCTTAATTTTTACATACTACAAATTATAAGACTTAGCTGAAAATGTGTCTAGTCCCTATTCTTCAAAATCTGATTTGTTTTCACTGACTTGAAAGGCAGAAAAACAGAGGGAGATAGACAATAGCAGATCTCTCATCTGCTGGTTCACTACCAAAATGCCTGTAATAGCCAGGGGTGGACCAGGCTGAAGTCAAGAGCCAAGAACCCAATCTGGTTCTTCTACATGGATGACCGGAACCCAAGTACTTGAGTCATCACCTGTTCTTTCCCAGGGTATGCATTAACAGGAAGTCAGGATCAGGAGCACAGCCAGGATTAGAACCCAAGAACCCTACTCTCTTTTCTACACTTTTAAAAAAGTGTAATTCCTCCTACTTATATTCCCATCTTCATTTCGCTTTGTTTTAAACTAATCTCAGTTCTTCTGTCTGAATCTATTTATTGGCTTTTGCTTGTGTCCATACATCTTTCTCCTTGTTTTGGTCTTATAAACCTGAAAAGAACCAGGATAGCAATGGATGCATTGACACTTAACAAGATATGTTACCTGAAATATTCCTGCTTTTATTATTAATTAACTTTAAATATGTAATAAAGAACTGGAGGCTGCCTGCACGCTATTCCAGAAAGACAGCACTATCTTCTGTTGGAATTTGTACACGAATCCATTTGATTATTCAATACTTGTATATGAAATAAAGTTTGAAAATGCTACTCACTCTTACGCAGTGCAATTTTATCCCAAATTATTTTCCTTAGGCACCTCTCTCTTTGTCTCTCCTGTAGCTCCTCATCATCAGTTTTAGGTTCATTCAGCGTCCCATAAATAGCAGTGGCTTCCCTAGGCGTTAGCCAATCTAAGTTGGACACACAAGCAATATAGTGGTGCTTCCAAGCTCCATACTCATTCTCTGTTGGCGTGTAGGGCAGAAACCATCCAAACTTGACGCATTTGGGCATCCATATGCAATCCTTCAGAAAGAGAGATGAAGTACAGGTTTTTTTAAAGGACAGTTTTCTAGTAGTAATGTTTTCAGGAATACTGATACAATTTTTTTATTACATTGAAATTTCTGGTGTGATTGACTTGCATCTAAACTTACTCTGGAATGAAAATGTTCTTTGGTGAGTACATGTATTATAAATGAGCATATGTACCCACGTTTGTGATACTAATTCATTATTATTTCCCAAAGCATTCAATTACTTTGACCCTAAATTTTTTTGTAAAAAATTTTATTTGAAGGGCAGAGTGACAGAGAGGGAGAGACAGGGATCTTCTATTTGCTGGTTCATTCCCCAAATGGCTGCAAAAGCCAGGACTGAGCCAGGCAGAAGCCAAGAGCCCAGAACTCCATTTAGATGTCTCCAACTTGGGTGGCAGAGACGCAGGTGCTTGGGCCATCTTTGGCTGCTTTCCCAGGTGCAGTAGCAGGGAGCTGGATTGAAAGTGAAGCACCTAGGACTCAAGCCAACACTCTGACGTGGAATGCCAGCATCAAGGTGGTAGCTTTACTTGCTGTGCCACAATGCCAGCCCCAACCCTAGAGTATGAGAATATAAGAATTCAATGTAAGTAATGTTGTAGTTTCAGACTAACCCTCCCTGAGAAGAGTTTCGATTGAACCATATGATATTGCCTGTACATATAGTTGACCCATGAAAACAGAAAATGTCATGTGATTCAAAGTAATCAATATTTAGAGAAAGTATTAAGACAATTGTTTGGGAACATTATACAGCCACCAACATAAGGACACATGCAACCAAAGCCCCAGAGAGAAGGGAAACCCAGAGAGGGAAGCATGATAGCTGGTTTCAAATTTTCCCTTGAAGCATTAGCCAATTCCAAAGTGAAGCTTAGTAGACTGAGAAGCACAACAGAAACCCATGGCCAAAAAACTTGGAGACTATAAGGGACACAGACTGAAATCCAGGGCCCACAAAGGGGAAGAGGCCTGGTGGTCACATCAGGGTTTAGCTGAACTCCTTGCAGGAAGGATGGTAATGAGTCAGACAAAGCATCCCAAGAACTGTAGCCAGAGTTGGAACAGTTCGTCCCCGATTGGATTTACATGCTCTGTTCCCAGCTCACCAAATGCCAGGTGCAAAGTCAGTTGTGTCTGGAGGAAAGCAGCATTATCCAGAGACTCAAGCGATCCCATAAACCATTTTATACCCAAGATCTGAGACTCTTTCTGTGTATTCTGTTTATTTTTGAAAGACAAGAACTATTTGTTTCTTCTTGTGATTTTTAGTAACTATAGAAACACTCAGAATATCCAAAAAGTGTCATTATCAAATGTGAGCTTGGAAAAAAGCTCAATTAATATGTCTAAGAAATTAAATGGCTAAGTGGAAAATTTTAGCAAAACAATCAAGTCATCCTAAAACTGAAAAGCATAACTGAAATTTAGAACACAATGGATGGGTTTGAGAGAAGCCTGGAACCCAGCTAAAGAAGTAATTAGTAAACACAAAGACAGGTCAGAAGAAAGTACAAATGGAACACTGAAAGCCGAAAGGATGGAAACTACACATAAAAGAACATAGAACTTCTTGAACATGACAGACCAGTCTCACGTTTATGTATCAAAATCCTGGGGGAAAAGAATGGGGAAGAAGCAATTTATAAAAAGACAACATCTGAGAATTCTTCGAAACTAATGCAAGACACTAAATCTCAGATTTGAAAACCACTACAAAAACACAAGCAGAATAAATATACTTATGAATGAACTTCACAAGTTCACTGAGAGGGCCTGGCTTGTGGCATAGTGCATTAAGCCACTGCCTACAATGCTGGCATCCCATATGCGCTGAACATTTTCAAGTGTTATTAATCCAGGTCTTGCAGTAGGCACATGCCATGACACTTCCACCAAAAGCCAACCAGGATCTGAGATTAGGTTCTCGATACAAGACAACCTGGAAATCTAGTACAACCCAAACAAATCATTGGATGGCATCTAGAGTATGACTGCCATTACATCTTATTAAAGCTTTTAAAAGGAAGCTAAGAGACAAATAAGCCAGAGACAGAATTAATAGCAGATGTTGATTTTAAATGGCTACTGTTAGTAACTACTTTCAACTGTTGCTAAAGGGTCTAGATTTGCAGCCTTCCACAGATGTTAGCCAAAGAGGGATCAGCTGAAGTTATGGTTGTGGAGCAACTTCTAGGGTTATCATGGATTGAATAACACATAAATTACCAAGATGAAATCATTTTGACAAAGAAAAATTAACTTAAAGATGAAGCATTTCTAAATAATTATACTGAATTTTTCCATTTTAAAAATGAAATGAATTTGGCCAGTGTTATGGCATAGCCAGTGAAGCCACCTCTTGAGATGCTGGCATGCCGAAGGAGTGATGGTTCAAGTCCTGGCTGCTCCCCTTCCCATCTGGCTCCCTAATAGCCTGGGAAAGCAGTGAAAAATGGCCCAAGTGCTTGGGCTCCTGCCACTCCTGTTGGAGACCCTGATGAAGCTCCAGGCTTTGTCTTGGCCCAGCCCTGGTTGTTGGGGCCATTTGGGAGCAGCAGTTAAAAGATCTCCCTCCCTCTCTTTCTCTCTCTCTCTCCAATTCTGTAAATATACCTTATAAATAAATAAATAAAGCTTTAAAATTAAGTGAATTACTGGAATAGTTTATAGCCCCCTTATTACAAAATAAATTGCTGTTTTTCACTTATTCCCATTTTTTTCTCTTGAAGATAATTATGGTTCAGGTGCCCTCAGCTATAACCTTCAGGGAAGACAGCTGCCCTAATTACCCCATTACTGGTTACAATTGGGTTTGCCCTATTACTAAGAAGGCACAAGTAGTAACCTGTTCAGTTAAAAACTTCCAGGGCCAGCTGACTTGGGCAGCTACACACAGGTCTTTAGGATTCAGAAAGGAAAAAATATACAGAGAAATGAAGCGTGGTAACACTGTAGAGAAATCCACTTTGGCTACTTGTGTCCTTTCTGAAAACCAGTCTTGGACAAACCTAAAAAAAAAAAAATACAGAAATTTAGTTCAGAACACTAATATGTAAAATTGACTAAAATCAGTGTGATTATTGATACTGGCTTTTTCCCCAATAAAAATAATTAAAACCTAAGCACCACAGAGCTAGATTTTTTAAGACACCATATCCACTTTCCACTATTCATTCTAAAAAGGAAGATAACGGGCCAGCATTGTGGCATAGCAAGTTAAGCCTCAGCCTATGATGCCAGAATCCCATATAGGAGCCAGTTCAAGACCTGGCTGCTCTACTTCCAACACAGCTCCCTGCTAATGTGCCCGGGAAAGCAGCAGAAGATGGCCCAAGTCCTTGGCCCCTACACCAACATGGGAGACCTGGAAGAGGTTTACATCATAAACCTTTCCCCCCTTATCTTTAAGATTTTTTTAAACTTTGGAAATTTATATTCATTAAATAAAAGTACAGCTTATGGATTACAATGGCTTCCCCCCCATAACGTCCCTCCCACCCGCAACCCTCCCCTTTCCCACTCCCACTCCCTCTCCCCTTCCATTCACATCAAGATTCATTTTCATTTCTCTTTATATACAGAAGATCAGTTTAGCATACATTAAGTAAAGATTAACAGTTTGCTCCCACACAGAAACATAAAGTGTAAAATACTGTTTGAGTACTAGTTATAGAATTAAATCTCAATGTACAGCACACTAAGGACAAAGATCCCACATGAGGAGTAAGTACACAGTGACTCCTGTTGCTGACTTAACAATTTGACACTCTTGTTTATGGCATCAGTAATCACCCTAGGCTCTTGTCATGAGCTGCCAAGGCTATGGAAGCCCCCTAAGTTCACTGACTCTGATAATATTTAGACAAGGCCATGGTCAAAGTGGAAGTTCTCTCCTCCCTTCAGAGAAAGGTACCTTTGATGACTCGTTCTTTCCACTGTGATCTCACTCGTGGAGATCTTTCATTTAGGTTTTTTTTTTTTCCCCCAGAGTGTCTTGGCTTTCCATGCCTAAAATACTCTCATGGGCTTTTCAGCCAGATCCACATGCCTTAAGGGCTGATTCTGAGGCCAGAGTGCTGTTTAGGGCATCTGCCATTCTATGGGTCTGCTGTGTATTTCACTCCCCATGTTGGATCGTTCTCTCCCTTTTTTTTTATTCTATCAGCTAGTACTAGCTGATAGAATACTAGCTGATCTTTAAGATTTTTAAATAAATTTTATTGTTTTTTTTTTAAGTGAAAGGGTTTATGGGGGGGGGGGGCGCTGACAGACCAGAGGGAAGGGGCGAAGAAGGAAAAGAGGGAGGAGGAGACCATAAGAGAGATCAAGAGAGAGGGCAAGAGACACAGAGAGATACAGAGAGAGGGAAAGATTGAGAGACAGAGAGAGCCATGTGTTCAGGAACAGGTCCTTTTAAAACTTTGTTGGGGGTGGGCAGGGAAGTAGGAGCAGTAAGCAGTCAATCGCACTAGGATGGGAGTAGAGCTAACACCAGTGGTTGGGCCATGGGGTCACCTGACTTCCAGCCATGACAGCAGGGGCTGGAGCCTAGGATGATGTCCAGGGCATAGACTGCACCACAGATAAGACTGTGCCACTTTACTTACATCCCCCCATTTTTTTTTGACAGGCAGAGTGGACAATGAGAGAGAGAGACAGAGAGACAGGTCTTCCTTTACCGTTGGTTCACCCCCCAAATGGCCGCTACGGTCGGCGCACTGTGCCGATCTGAAGCCAGGAGCCAGGTGCTTCCTCCTGGTATCCCATGTGGGTGGTACAGGGCCCAAGCACTTGGGCCATCCTCCACTGCCTTCCTGGGTCACAGCAGAGAGCTGTACTGGAAGGGGAGCAACTGGGACAGAATCCGGCACCCCAACCGGGACTAGAACCTGGGGTGCCAGTTCCGCAGGCGGAGGATTAGTGAGCCACAGCGCTGGCCCCATTTTGTTTTTTATAAAGCAACAGTTGTATGGGATTACATTAGCCCCAGAAGTCCAGGAGGGGTAGAGGGACGATGATCTGTCTTTAGAGCTACTTCCTGCTGACATGGGGTGATGAGGTACTTTGCTGGCATGGGGCGATGTCTCAAGTATCTGTCTCCTGGGTAGGGAGCCGAGTATATCCCTGTAGCAGCATTTGGTTGACTGCCTAGTTGGTGAAGGCCTTAGTTCATTCCATTATCACCTCCTGTAAACACTTAAACAGACACAGTAGTATAAAAGACAGGGTGAGAATAGCAATCAATGGTCCTAGTAGTGGCATTACCCAAGTAATGAGAGGATTTCTTAGAGGAGAGGAAATGAGGGGGTTCTCTGGACCCTTGTGAAGACTGTTTGATGGACGTGGTTTAAAGCTGATCTCAATCAAAACTGGGAGAAAGGCCACTCATCTTTTGCGGGTAGAGGGGTCTGTCTGTAGAGAAATTCTGAACAATCATATAACATTAAGTAGGGTAGAGGACCATCAATACACAGAGCTCGGGAGTAGAGCCATTGATGTAAGAGTAGAGGCTATGATTACAAGGGAATGAGGCCCTAGATGGGCTAGATAGGGTCTAGAACAAAGGATAGAGTCATTAGTAGAGGACCTAATAAAGGTGCTAGCTAAACCAAGACTAGGTTTTCTGATTGGAGGCAAATAACTGACAGAAGGGACCTGATAATAATCGGGTGGGCTTTAAGTCCCTGTCAGTTATGAGGCCCAGACTTATCTCTTCACATGGGGTACATCCTAAGGGAGGTGATTCCTTTTTTTCCTCTTTGTTGACTTCTTCTACCTAGCAGGCCTGGGAGGAGACCTGGCCAGGTAAAGGCAGGTGGTATCTCTAATTCTGCCTCAATGTTACTGACCCTACTTGGCCATCCCCTCAGAAGCAGTGGGTACTTTGGAAGCTGGGCTGAGTGAAGGGATTTTCAGCTTAGAGCAAGCAAGATCTGTGGCTCTGACCTGGGCGTCCTTCGACTCCAGGGCAGTTCTATTTCCAGTGACCCAACTTTTGACTGGCAGAGCTGCCAGGGCTCTTCATAAGCTGAATTCTGCAAAAGCTCGCTTTCCACATTGAAAGCCACTGCAGTGGACTGGCTCGTTGGGTCTCTTTGAGGGCAGATCCCTGTACAGAGTTGCCTTTAATAGGCCTACCACCTAGGTTAAGATTTTATCTACTTGAGTTACAGAGAGAGATAGAGACAGAGAGAGAGGTCTTCCATCTGCTGGTTCACTCCCCAGATGGCTGCAACGGCTGGAGCTGTGCCAATCCAAAGCCAGGAGCCAGGAGCTTCATCTGAGTCTCCCACATGGGTGCAGGGGCCCAAGGACTTGGTCCATCCTCCACTGCTTTTCCAGGCCATAGCAGAAAGCTGGGTCAGAAGTGGAGCAGCCAGGACTCAAACCAGCACCCATATGGGATGCCGCACTGTAGACCAGGGCTTTAACCCACTGAGCCACAGTGCCGACCCTTCTCCCACTCTTATCTTTACCCAGCATTCAGTAAGCCAGCAAGCCCTGTCAATTCTACCTCCAAGATACGTCCTCAAATCCAACCACATCTATCCATTGCAACTGCAATCACTTGGTCCAAGCACCTGCAAGTCTATTCTGCATTATTGCCACAGCCTCTGAGTCAGCTCTCTGCTGCCATTCCAGGCCTCCTGGTGCTCTCGACAGAGCTGCTCAAGTGACTTCTTATAAATTATATTTCACTCAGGCAAGTAAAACCCCACAATGATTCCCAATGCAATTCGTGTTAAAAACCTACTACATCACACTTAAGGGTGAACTATTCAATGCCTTTCCCCTAACATCAGGAACAAAGCAAGAATGTTCAGTCTCTTTGCTTCAATTAGCATGTATTGCAGTCCTAGCCAGTTCCACAGGGCAAGGCTAGGAGGGAAGAAATTTACATTAGAAAAGAAGAAACAAAAGTGTCTCAATTCAGGTAGCTTGCATGTAAGATTTACAAAACAGGTAATAGAAACAGAACTCTGAAAAACAACTATTTAAACTGTTGCTGATTTTATTATCTTTCAAACATCTATTCCATTTTTCATTCCTGATCATTTGTTTTTACTTTTTCCTTTATTACAGTTGCTAGAAGTTTATCAATTCCATTACTTTAAGAAAAATTAGCATTTGTTCTCAGAGATTATTTGTTGTTGCTTGGACATTTTCTATCTTACTGAGTTTTATTCTTTGTCATTTCTTCTACTTACTTTAAGTGTAGTTTGCTATTTTTTTTTTTAGTCCCTTAAGGTAGAAATTTAGATGATTTTTTCTTTTCTAATAAAATCATTTAAAGTGATACTTTTCTCCAAAGCCTGTGCTTCTGCTATATGACACATCTTCAAATGTGTTATACTTCCATCATCAGAAATATTTTCTAATTTCCAAATATATGGGGGATTTCCTAGGTTTTTACTAATTTTATATATATTGCACTTATTAAACAACATTCTTAATAAAATTTTGAAATTTTGAAATTTATTATGGACCAAAAAATGATCTACTTTATGTTTTATTTAGCTCATGAGAAGAACATATATTTGGAACTTACTGGGCTTACTTTTCCAATAAGGACAGGTTAGTTGAGAAGATTCCTTATATCTTTTACATACTAAATTCTTATTTATTTGTGTTCTATTAGATGATGGTTTTTGTTTCATATAATTTCAAGCTCCTATTTGGTACAGATGTTTAAAATTATGTTTTCTTGATGGATTGACTCTTTTATCCTTATTAAATGTCCCTTCCTATCTCTGATAATATTAGACAAATGGATTTCAGTACCAAGAATGTTAACATTGGCATTCTATCTTTGAATACTGACTATTTGCATGCTATATCTTTTTTCACTTCTTACTTTCAATGAGTCAGTGTCTAACTAGTTGGGTAGTTAGTATATAATGAGTTGGGGATAGAAAGACTGATTTGGTAATTGCTGCCATTTAATTTGACAGTTTAATCCACTTACATTTAATGTAACTATAGATAAGATTGGATTCAGATTGCAATT